GAACTTTGTATTTGTTTTTTCTTTACTTAGAACGCTCTTCTGCATGATCATTGCAATTCAGAAGACAGCGGTTGGATCCCACTGTCATGCAGTCCTCAGCTGAGAGAGAACTTACAGACCACCCAATCTTGCTTTCCCCATTACTTGAAATAGCACTACTGCCACTTGCATATGGCAACCACAATGTAGAATATACTTATTAAGTTTTTAAGAAAACTAATACGGGTTTGCCTATTAACAGTAAATAATGCTGTCTCTCTTGCTTGAGAAGTAGGTGTATATTTCTTTATACTCACCCTAGAATTGCCCATTCTTTCCTAAGATTGTGTAGAAAGATGATTTCTATCAAGTATTCTTTGTATCTGTTCAGGAACTTTTTCTGCAATAAGTAAGTGGGGAAGTGGACTTTCCAACTCACTTTTCTCAAATTGAAAGTTTGGAAGAACTGTTGCTAATCCTGGCACCAAATTATCTAGGGAATATTATATTACCTAATGAAATTTTTAAGGAAAGAAAAAATTATCATGTTGGTTTCACGATTTATAAACTAAGTCACTCTAAATTCTTAGGCCATTAGAAAAATAATCTAGGGGCCGGCCGGGCGGCGCGCGGGATAGTGCGCCGCTTGGGAAGCACGGCGGGGCTCCCGCCCGAGGGTTCGGATCCCACATACAGACCGGTTCCCGCTCGCTGGCTGAGCGAGGCGCGGGAGCAACACCGAGGCTTGCAATCCCGTTGCCGGTCCCCGGTCCGGTACGGGGGCAACACTGAGGGTTGCGATCCGTTGCCGGACACGGAAAAAAGAAAAAAGAAAAAAAAAAAAAAAGAAAAAGAAAAATAATCTAGGGGCCGGCCGGGCGGCGCGCGGGATAGTGCGCCGCTTGGGAAGCACGGCGGGGCTCCCGCCCGAGGGTTCGGATCCCACATACAGACCGGTTCCCGCTCGCTGGCTGAGCGAGGCGCGGGAGCAACACCGAGGCTTGCAATCCCGTTGCCGGTCCCCGGTCCGGTACGGGGGCAACACTGAGGGTTGCGATCCGTTGCCGGACACGGAAAAAAGACAAAAGACAAAAAAAAAAAAAAAAAGAAAAAGAAAAATAATCTATATCTAGTAATGTGCTGAAGCCAAGTTGTACTGGCTCATGTTTGATCGGCTTGTTAAATTTTGAGGAAATTTGCAAGCAGGTTGACTTCCCATTAGCTTCAAATTGGCTTGAAATGGTGGGAGTATTTACACCATAGAAATTGGCAAATGCTACAAACCAGGGCTTACCCACCAAATCCCACCAGACAATTTGCCAGCACACCATTATGTATAGCTAATACTTCAGAGGCTGACAATTTAATGACTACAAAGCAATGGGGCTATCTCCAAATTGGTGTTTGGATTTAAAAAGCTATTTTGGGTATGAAAGAAAAAGGTTTTTAAAAATAGATTATTTGTACATACAGGCAGATAGGAAGAATAAAAAGGAATTAAGATCTTTGTATTTGCTCCTTTTACCTCCCAGGTCAGGCTGCTGAATTCTTGCCAAATGTTGTTAAAATATGTATTTTGGGTTAGGACAGATAGCCACCTTCTGGTACTTGTGATACCAGCTTTCCCCTGCTCTCATACTGATAAACCAGCTTTATGATTTTACATGTAGCATCATATCTTAGTTACAGTGAGTGTCTTAGACTGTTTCTTCAGGAAAAGAAAAAGATTCAAAGAGTTAGCTGGAGGCCCTGATTAATTATTGTCTATAATGTTGGAGCAAGTGGGGACAAATGATAGTTGACCTAAGGTACCCAGCACTCAGTGGGAAAGGCCTTAAAGGAAAATTACATGAAGAGGCAGGGCTTTGAGTGTTACTCACTGACAGGAACATCTTTGATTTGCTCTACACAGAGGTACAAGATTTCTGTCTTGCTGTGAGGTCAGAGACAGATTATTTGTGACATTTAAAGACAAAAATGTTATTTGACAGTACCTGTATGAAGGGATTAATAAGACATAAGTCGTATATTGAACACTTTGTTTTTAAGTGACATAAGGGCATATACAAAAGCCTCCTGTTTGTTTCTTCCAAAACCTGAGATTAAATGTCCTCCATCTAAAATGAAATTTGAGAAGCAAGAGCATGCTGAAATCCCTTTCTTCCCCTCTCGCACTTTGTGATAAACACTTGGAAAATTTGGATAATTCTAAAGGACTGTGTTACAGCTCATTATTTCATCTTTTCTGATGTCTTTATAAAACAGATTAATAGTACTGTTTATGAGAAGAGAGAAAGTCACTTTCTTCGGTCATCTTTGGATGGAGCTGATTTTTTTTTTCTTGGAAGAGGGCTTTATTTCTAATCGTACTGCATTTCTAGGACTTGGATCTTTAATGGAGAACTATTAATATTTCCCAAAGGATAAGATACCATCTGTAGCTAAACAAGTTGGCATTCTGGATTGATAACATCCTGTTTTTATTATGTTAGAAACTATAAACCCATTGGATGGCCTCATTCTCTTATCCAAATAAAATAAAGGAATTTTTAGTAGTGAGAGAATGTAATACAATTTGACTAAAATTAATTTCCTGAAGCTCAAATAAGCTCTGGTATTTGGAAAAATAATCCTATAACAATAGATCTCTGGAGTCAATGTGATGGTGCCATTGGTGATCTTGAGGACAGGAGTAGTGAAGATAACTAGAAAGGAGATCTCATGAAAATCATGGTTGGAGGCATGTTTTGCATCTTGTGTTGAAGACTCTAGAGAAACAACTCTTTGCTTAAAGACAAAGTTTTGGTAAGCAGGAATTAAAACAGACAAACAAACAAAAAAAAGCAGATAACATGCAGGTAAACATCCCCATCAAGCTGAAATTGAAGTTCCACAAACAGGATTTTTTAAGTAAAGACTATTCTTAAGTTCTTAATGGCTGGTCATCCATCACCATCATCTCTTCATTAAATGGAAACTCCTGCCGTTAGTACCGTATTTAAATACAAGTCATGCAAAAGAGAATCTACTGAAAAGAGCAATATTGAATATGCCAATAATAGAGTCAAGCAGTATTAAATATCTAGTCATTAATTAAATGAACAATAGATTGTTATTTTTATTTTTCCTCACAGTATGGTTACTTTTCATTATTTACATTTAATATTAAAGATTTTTTAATATGAAAAGTATGCAAATTCTGGAAAATTTTATAAATACAGAAAAGTAGAAAAAGAGTATAATTCTGTTACCAAAGGCAACTGGTGTCAACACTTTATTTCTTTCTGATATTGTTTCAAATCAAAATTGCATAGTCTACTACTCTCTCTTTTATTACTGTTACTGCAGTTAATACTACTACACCTTTATAACCCATCATTTACTGATAATAACATTATTTTGTCACCAGTCTTCACATATAAATCTGTGAGGTAAGTATTTTTTTAAAAACCATTTTACAGATGATGAAATGGAAATTCAGAAAAGACAGCCTGCTCAAAATTTTATAGGTGATTGGGCTAAGATAGGGACCTAGACATATGTAACTTCAAAGCTGATTTTTACATTTCATTACACACATATTACTTTCTTACCTTAAAAACAATTTTGTATCCTGCTTTTTCACTTAAAAATTGTGTAAGAATTTCCCTGATGCCATTAACACTCTTTAAAAACAATTTTAATTGTAGTGTAATATTTCCTTATAGAAATATTCTTCATAGTAATGAATGTTCAATTGTTTTAATTTTTTCTGGATACATTTTTACTGCTTAGAACCAAATCATTATAAAACATAATGTGTGAAGGCTAGGCCAGATAGACTGCTAAAAGCCACCCAGGTATCGGGAGAGAGGGCTAATGCTTTATTCAGTATTCACTACCACAGATCATTTCCCTGAAAGCCACTTGCTAAGCTAATATGGACAAAGGCCAGCTTGTGTTCGAATTTTTTTAAATGAAGATTTTTAATGTAATGTTTCAAATGCATTGCGTTTTCACTGTGTTGCTAAGGTCTTTACTTTCTTCTTATCCTGTTTCTGACTTTGCTCACGGTACTCTGATTGTCCTTCTCCTGACAAAATATTTCTTAGTGTCTCTTCCACTTTGATTTTTATATCCTTAAAAAGTCCATAATATTATCACCATTTTTTAAGTTCTGCAAAACTTCCCTGTTAACCACTGAATGCCAATTACAGAATTTGTAAATGTCTTTCCTACTGACTACCTATACGTAATCCCGTATTCAAATCATGTTGCGTTTCAAACATCTTGTTCAATCGACTTTTATCTGCCTGGTTATCTCAATTTAAGCAGCTTGAAGAAATAAATGTTCTTTAAAGAAACATGAGATGTGGGTAAAGAACTGTCACATTTCTACCAGTTGCTTCAAACAGCTAATTAGGAATCCAATTTTTACCCAAAATATTTCTTGAGCACCTATTCTATGATTGGCATGGTAGTAGACACTGGGCATACAGTAGAGAACAAATTAAAACTGATGCCTGCCCATGTGGAGCATAAAGTCTAGTGGAAGAGGCACACAAAAATAAACAGATTGTGCTGTTTTCTGTAATTGTGTTTAGGACAGTACATGCCTGATGTTCTTTTATATTACATAAGCATACTAATAATAGTGCTTGTACTATAATTTTTTGTGTGTTTTATTCATATTTACTCTTAAACTAAATTACAGACTTCAATTTAAAAAGTTCATTTATTGGTTTTCCTGTAATGTTTGCGATTAAAATATTTTTTAAAAGACAATGAAATTGTATGATTTTTTATTTGTTTGTTTGCTGGCCATTTATTCCTTAAATGATAGTTTACTTAAAGGAAAAATTTTCAGTGTCTTTTTTGCTGCTGTGGAATTACTTTGTTCTCAGGTCTTTCAGAAAATTATTGGATTCCTAACAAGAAAATGCATTTATTGTGTGCCAGAGCATTGTACAGCTCTGCTAAAGCTCACAAACTATGAAAGAGCTTGTCAGACGTGCCAGTAAATCTTCCCTTTCTTGCCATAGGTCCAAGGATCTTATAAAGGAAGCTATCCTTGACAATGACTTTATGAAGAACTTGGAGCTGTCCCAGATCCAGGAGATTGTGGATTGTATGTACCCAGTGGAATATGGCAAAGACAGTTGCATCATCAAGGAAGGAGATGTGGGGTCACTGGTGTATGTCATGGAAGGTACGGTTTGTAACCCTGATCCTCTGACATTCAAATATTCCCTTTTCATCTTATCAGCCTACACACAGATGGCAGTGTATTACATGGGACAATTCCATTTTTCCTCCTTTTGTTGAAAAAGTTAGATAAGAGGTGAAATATTACTTAGAAACAGTGGTTGCCTAATTATATGAAGTGTTTGTGTTTAGAATATTAATATGAGAATACAATATTTTTTCAGACATGGGGAAAGAAGATAATGTAAAAAAAAAAGAAATGCTATTTAGTACACTGAATAAGACCACAAACTATCAGATCATTGAGCAAGCTCACAGAGATTTAACAGAAGCTTAAGATTATTAGAAGTATTTTTGGTCAGATAATCAAAGTGTTTTCAACTCTACTCTTAATATATGACTAACTTTCCTAATTTGATGGTTCTGTGAAAAGAAAATGTTCTCATTTTTATATGTGTATGATAGAGGCAAATCATAAAAATTGGATGGCATATTAGCTGCCTAATTTATGAGTGATAGCTTGTCTCATAAATCTTGCACAAACCAAGAGAGAAATGGCTTTGGAAAAAACTGAGGCATGCACTGTGTAAATATGTTTTATGCCTAGGTAAATTTTCATAATGTGAGTTTCTAACTTGGTATTTAGAATGGCATGTTTTTCTTTTGTGGGAAGAAAGAAGCCTGAAGTAATGACTGAATCAGCTGCAAGGAAAGTGAGTTCAGAAATGTCTATGATATAAAATAGTATATGAAAGTCACAGTTGGTTTATTAGAAGCAATTAGTGTTTTACCCAAAGCATTCGTTTCGGTGTCCTATAACTGTCACGTTTATAGGTAGGTCATTAAGAGAAGGGGTATATTTGGGAAAATCACGTAATTTCTCTGAGTTTTACCTACTCAATTTTTAAAAAAAGATATTATTTCTTTCTGCCAGGGCTCTGAACTGGTGATGATTCCCCCAGGGACATTTGGCAATATCTGAAGACATTTTTGGTTGTCACAATTGTGGTAGCGGGGTGGGGGAGGCTATTGGCTTCCAGCAGGTAGAGGCCAGGGTTGCTACTTAACAAGGTAGGTGCCCAGAATAAAGAATCATCTGGCCCAAAATGTAATTAGTGCTAACATTGAAAATGTAATTAGTGCTTTCTACCTTCCTTACAGGATTGTTATGAAGTTAAAATGAAATAATTTGTATGAATGAATTTGTATAAACATTGCAAGTAAAAAACATTACAAGTAAAAATGTAATGTATAAAACATTACAAAGTAATAAATATTATCTATTAAATACTTCACAGTATATAAGAAATATTCTTTCTGCATTCATCTTTCATCTTTTAATTTTTCTTTGTGGTCTTTTTGGACACCGACCAGGGCTTTTTCTTTCTAAGTAGTAATTTCTATCATTTTTTCCTTTATAGTTTTCACCTTTTGTGTCAACATCATAAAGTTCTTCCCAGGGCCAAAAGGATATAAATATTCAGCTAGACTTTCTTCTGGCAAAACCAAAACACAATAAACACAAATACAAATAAAATATACTTGGCAGAGAATTGCAGGGATGAGAGATGAATTTATAGGGCAAAGATGTATGCAGGTACTGAGCAAGATGAATAAGAAAAATGGAAGAAATATATAGAGGTCAAGTATAGAATATAAAAATAGAGGCACCATGTTAAAAATTACTAACCATTAGACACCATGTTTTTAAAGCATTTCTAAGATTATATCAGTGGCTTCATATGATTTGGTTTTTCAGATATTATATTTGCAGGCATTTGTTTAAAAACGTAGCTGTTGTATAAAACAAGGTATACTTTTACTTCAGCTGTTTTCAAATGCTAATTACTGATATTTCATTCAAGAAACCAGAATTTCGAAAACCTGTGGGTTGTTTTCCTTCATCTTGAATAAATAGATTTCCAAACAACCTTGTAAAGTTTTCTTTAAAAAATATCTTTTTATCCATGTTATCACTGTTTTCTGGGATTAACTCCAAGTTTTCTACAGTATTAGAAAAAGCTTGGAAATAATAGGTGACTCTTGTAGAGTGTTTAGAACAATGCCCAACACAGAGTATGCTTTTTTGAAACACTTTCCATGTATAAAATTTATTTAATCCTCAAAACAATGCTGTGAAGAAAAGGCTAATATTTATTATCTCCTCTTATAGATGAGGAGACTGAGGCTCAATGAGGATGAGTAATTTGTCCAGGTCTTCCAACTAGTTTATAGTAGAGTCAAATTTGTACCCTGGCAATCTGGATTCAGAGCTCAAGCTCTTAACTATGGGGCTAAGTCAGGGTTCTCCAGAGAAACAGAAAAATGACATGTGTATGTATATACAGAAAGAAAGAGATTTATCTTAAGGAATTGGCTCACGTGATTGTGGAGGCTGGCAAGTCGAAAATCTGCAGGGTAAAGCCAGCAGGTTGGAGACCCGGGGGAGAGTTGATGCTGCAGTTCAAGGCCAAAGGCTGTCTGCTGGTGGAATTTTCTCTTCCTCGGGAAGGTCAATCTTTTTCCTATTAAGGCCTTCAACTGATTGGATGAGTCCCACCCACATGATTGGAAGGTAATCAGCTTTACTCAAAGTCTATGGATTTAAATGTTAATCTCATCTAAAAAAATACCTTCAGAGAAACATCTAGAATAATGTTTGGCAATGTTAATCCTAAAGCTGTCATTAGAACAGTTGCAATACACTTGCACTTAAAGTTATTTTTGCACTTCCTTCTAGAACCAAGTTTATAATATTAATTACCCCATAAATATGTATAATCAAAAATAAATGTAAAAATATTTTAAAATATATGAGTGAGCTTATGTACTGCTTATATAAAAACAAAACAAAACATCTGTTTATAAAAGGTTATCATAAACAAGGAAAATCTTGAAATACTAAATGTGAATACTAAAATATATTTCCATTATGGAGGCAATGGCAAAGACAGGGAACTGAGATGTTTAGGTTGCGCATGGGGTATCATGTTCATTTCAGAGTGCCAGGCTTCCAAAAGGACTTCAATATACTTGAACAAGTTAAGGAAGCATAACATATATTTAAAAGTATTGATAACGTTTTATGTGTGGATGTAAGTTTAAGGAGCAAAGGATAACTGTTTTTAAATGCTGAAAACACTGTCACATAAAAAAGGAATTATTCTGCATGAATCTAGATGATCAAAGAAGTAATGCAAGTTACAGGAAAGTCTGAATTGGGTCAGGATGAGGATCAATATTCTGCTAATTATATTGTTCCACAAGTGAAATGAGCAGCCTGATGTGATGGCATCTAGGAGGCATTAAACAGCAACAGCTTGGCATCTGCTTAGAGAAATTTTGTGTGGGTGGAGGACTCTTTATGGGTTGAACCCAAACACTGCTCCTATCCCTACGCAAACTCCAAGATTCTGAGTCTGTGGGTCTGTGAACTAATGTTCCGTAAATTAGCTTATAAAAACCCAGACCTCAAGAGATTTCCTCTCAAACCTGCCCTCACATGCACAATGTACATTGTAGTTTTGAACTTTTTATAAATCTAGTAATTCTGCATGTATTCTTCTGCTGCTTAATTTTTTGTTTACTATTATGTTTCATTGCATATGTGTTATGTTTATATGTATTTATTTATCTTTTCAGCTATTGATGATATTTGAGTTGTTTCCAGTTATTTTGCTCTTCCAAATGGTGCTTGTATAAACAGTGTTAACTATGTTTCCTGATAAACATGTTCGGTAATTTCTCTAGTGTAGATATCTAGAAGTGGAATTACGGGATTATATGGTATGTGAGTCTTCAAATTTGTTAAATAATGCACACTTTTTTCCAAAGTGGTTTTACCTGATTATACCTGATTGTAACTTATGCCTAAGTTTTCTGATTTTTCCTCATGTTTGCAGAAATTTATATTAACAGACATTTAAATGTTATCACTCAGCTTATTCACCTACCCCTATTTTCTGTCAAAAGATGACTTGTGATTATTTCCAAACAAGGATGTATGTATTATGTACCATTACATAATACATACATAATTTACATTTAATATTGTAATGGTATGTACCATTAGAAAGTAATGACATTTGTTATACAAGTCAAGAAAAATTAACCAGGTGTTTTTGATAAGGACCATCATTATTGAAAAACTGACATATTTTGAAGGGAAGTGTTAGTAATTATTTGGGTACTAAGTCACTGTGTGATTTTGTAAAATATAGTCTTATCACATTGTGGTTATACTAATGTAGAGTTTTCCATTTTCTTTTAAAATTATTACTGGTGGAATTGAATTTATTACATTAGAAAGTGAAATAGTATGGCTTTTCTTACTTTGGAAAACTCTGGGAAACTAAAATAATTAAAATTGCTGTGATTTTAAAAAATTGAAACATAATTGATTGTACACCTTGGTGAGGTACAGAGTTGAATATTAATGCCTGAGTACAATGTATGATGATCAAATCATTATAACCAGCATATTCATCATTACAAAATGTGATCATTCTTTGTATCCATTGACCAATTTCTCATGACTCTTCTCTCTCTCCCCCTTTCCCATCTCTAGTAACCACAGTTCTGTTCTCTCCTTCTGAGAGTTTGATGTATTATTATGATTGTTTCTTTCTTTCTTTCTTATCCATTTATTTATTTTTTAGCTCCCACTTATGAGTGAGGACATGTGATATTTTCTCTTTCTGGCTTATTTCACTTAACATAATCTTCTCCAAGCTCATCCATGCTGCTACCAATGGCAGAATTTCATTCTTCTTAATGGCAGAGTAGTATTCCATCCTGTATATATACCACATTTTCCTTATCCAGTCATCCACTGATGGACATTTAGGTTAGATCCATATATTCATCATAGTAAATAGAGCTGCAGTAAACATGGGAGTGCAGGTATCCTTTTGACATGATGATTTCTATTCCTTTGGGTATATACCCAGCAGTGGGATTGCTAGATCATATGGCAGTTCTATCTGTAGTTGTTTGCAGAACCTC